AATAATTAAGTAGGGCAGTCCAAAGTAGACTTTAAGGGAGACAAAGACCCCAGGAAGTTCTGTTCTGTTTAGTTTATAAATATATATATATTTTTATTTGTTCTTTTGTTTTGTTGTTTTATTTGTTGTTGGTTTTTTTTTTCCTCCTCTCCTGGATATTTATTTCTTTGGTATTTTGAATAGATGTTTTAAATGATATGAACCGGACCTTCAAGAGCCTTAAATAGTTGCTTTGATAATTTATTATCATGTGAACTGTACTCACAGGGGGAAAAAATTATTTTGTGAGGCCAAGCAAAACTGCGCAGAGTCTATTTTTCTACATGTCACGTATGTCCTGACTTTCAGAAAGCAAAATTCTGTACTTTCCCATCTCTCCATTACATTGCTCCTTCTTTTCAGCAAGTCTCAAAAACAAGCAAGCAAGCAAGCAAACACACAAAAAAAGGACAAACTTCATGGGGGTCCGTAAATTATATTTTTATACACAGAATTGTAAATTAGATTTTTTTGAAAGATTAATACTTAACTGAATCACATTTCATTTTTTGAAATAGTGTAAAATATGAAAATATATTATTTTAATTTAAATAGTTTCAAACGTAATGTCATTTTCTGTATTGTTTTCCATGTTTTGCTTTGTAAAAACAACATTTGGCCATGTTTATGGAAGTCAAGACTGTTACACAAACTTTTTGTTTGCGAAAACCGTAAGAAACTTTGTTATTTTTAACTTCAAAAAAAATTTATTAGAAAAAAATATTTTTTAAAAAGCGCACATGGCGGCAATTCTGTGATGATGGAGACAGTAGTTTGTACAGAGGGGAGAAAAGGATGTTTTGCATTAATAAATTGAGAAATAACTGCTGTAAATTTACTAAAATGTATTTTTGAATATTTTGTAATAGTTTTAATAGTTTTATAGAAATAAAATGTGCCATGCACACTCTGGTTAGTATATAATAACTAAGAATTCCTGGTGCATCCCATTTGTTTTTTTCCTTTTTGCTTATTGGTTTAGGAAACATGATGCCTAAAGGAGTGCCCGTTGTTTTATTGAGATGTGTTGCTAATAACTTTTAATTTTGGTACTTGAATTAAGGAAATTAATCCATCACGTCTGCGAGTAACCTGGAATCTCTTGTACTAACAGTAGAACCTCACTTATTCGCACATGCGACCAGGAGATGCCGTTTCCCTTCGTTGGAGTCCCGTCTCCCTGTCCATGCTCAGGCAATGCTCCCCTCTTCCAACTCCAGCCCTGGCTCCATGTCCACCTCCCGGTCTGGTCTGGAGACCGCAGACGGCTCTTAAAATTGATTTCTGAGGGCCTTAAATCAAGTTTGCCCTTCAAAGCATGTTAATCTGAAGGCAGGCAGCTGCCTTTACCTTGTGAAGGCACTGGGATTTTATTCGGCTTTTTTTGGATGCTCGGCAGATGGAAACCTGGGAGAGAGACACCGACTTTGGTGAATTAACCAGGATTCCTGTGGCTGATGCTGGAAGAAGGAGATGGCCACCAGATTTTACTGGCCACCTTGCCTGAGTAACAATGTGAGGCATGGGGCCACCAAGAAAAGAACAAAATACGTTTTGCAAAACAAAAAAAAAGGAGTAAAAATTTGTTCATTTCTTCTGAGAGACGTTCCTTAGCTGTAACGCATCAGACTCCGTCCCGAGCTGTCAATTGGTGAATGTATTGGAGATGTGTTTTAGGAGCTGAGTGGTGGGGCCAGTGCTGCATCTCCTGCCTGGTCCCATCCCCAAACCCTGTCGAGGGGCTCATCCTCGATGGGTGCCGACAAGTGAGGTTCTGCTGCGCCACATGCTCCTCCCTGGAGGGTTTCCAGGATCCCTTTAAAAATTTTGCAAAACATTGTGTGTGCGTGTGCGTGCGCATCTGCGACAGGACCGTGCCAGAAGGGAGCTTTAATTGAATGTCTTCTCACCTTTTCTTTGGTTTCCATTAGTCATCGGTCTAGGACGTTCATCCATCGGGCAGCCTTTTGCTCCAGAGACACAGCCACATCCTCCGCTGGGCTGGACTGCAGCTCCAAGTGGCCTCCTGGGATGTTCCTGCCTGGGGCCATCTCCAGAGAGCACTGATCATGCTCTTCCATGCTGAAAGCCTGGGAGTTTCCAGAGCGGTGCCAGAAGCTGGTGGCCGAGCCCCGGGCACAATCACCCTGTGTCAAGCCCTAACACATGGATGTGGTCTCTCCTTCGTAGCAGCTGCTAGTCCAGGGCCACTTCCACCCTCTGAAGTTCAGGCATGACCAGGGCGGTGAGACTTCGGTGTGACTGTCGGTGTGCTGCAGCACCCGTGTGGACCACCAGGATAGGAACAAAGCCACCCTTATGCCCACGCGGTGTGGGGCATCACAGGGGTCCGTGGACTGCCCAGTGGGCGCCAGGTACCTGCTGTCCATCCCAGCTCGGACTCTGCCACCTCTGTGTCTTTGGTGTCTGCTGGTGCGTTGGGGGCTGCAAACACAGCTCCTTTGGAGCATATAAAAATGTGATTGTGGAACAAATGAGTCTCTGCTGTAAGAGTCTGGCCTTCGCATGGCAGAGCCTGGGCACCCAAGCTCTCTTACCCCTGTCTTTGAATGGTGGCTGGCATTTTGTAAAGCTTTTACACTCAAAAACCAACCATGTTGGAGCCTATCTTCTCCAGAGGTCAGGCGGTTGAAGTGTTTCAGGCGGACAGTGGTCAAACTTAAAGATGTTGGCTTGGGGGCTTCAGCCTAAATCATAACTGAGATGAAAAAGACCCATTATACCAGACCCCACGCTTGTGTCAGAGTAGGGTATCTGCCCCATTAGGGACCATATCAGACATTTTTGTGTTTAATCTTCACTGAAAGGCCGGGACAAGCTCAGTGCTTTGTGGTGTGAGAGAAGTTAGATGCTGTCTTATACTAGGATCAACCTGTTTTATCAAGCAGAGAAATGCTGTGCCATGTTCTCCATCACACGTATTTCGAGTGACTGTATGCCTCCCTCTCACCGTATATTTATTACACATTTTCCTTTGGCGCGGCACGTCTGGATCACCCCTCCATGGTAGGCATTAGAAAGTGCTTCGTCAGGTGGACCGATCCAACCTATAGCTACAGGTCTCGTATGAAGGATGTACTGTCAGAACATCATGCTAAATGTCTAGGAGATGTCACCACCCATTTTCCACCGTCCATACAGGGTCTGAGTATGGCAATATTTTGTATAAAATGTACACATAGTGGTGGCTACAGAATAGTTTATGACTAAATACATATCTATTACTGTTAAAATAATGTATAAGAATGTACTTGAAGCTATTATCCTTGTGCTCTGTTGTCTGCAGAATTAAAGA